CGGGGGACGTGCAGTGCAACAGGGTCTTGGCTGCTCAGGGAGCCACAGATTGATGCTGCTGGAAGTTTCCACCGAGGCCTCTCGTCACTCTGGGGGAGCCGCTGCTCAAGGGTGCCCTGCAATCTGCTTGCTCCCGCTCCTCAAAACCTCTCCTTCCTTGCATGTGCAGAGCGAAGAGCTGGTCCTTCCTCCCCGAGGCCGGTCCTTCCGCAGAGTGCCTGTGCATCCTTGGCAGCGCGGCCATCCTGGCTCGCTTTATTTTAGCCGCTTCTCCTCTTCCTCCTCCTTAAATGCAGCCAAAGCACCAGGGAATTTCCCCCCAGCACCAGGGAAGGAGAAAACAAACTCTGATGTTGGCAAGTGGCTGTAACGCCTGCGCTGTCACAGGCGTGTCGGAGTCAGACCAGGAGTTAAAACAACAACAACAGAAATCCTGGCCAGTTTATTCTAAGACATTGCTTGATTTCCTGCTGTTAATATGTAAATATGCAGGTGTTTGAGCTCCTTTCTGCCCGACTTTGAGTACTTGCTTATGGCCCTGACAAACAAATGGGGCTGCTACCCTTGGCATGTTTTTTTTCCCCTATGACTGTGCTTAGCTTCATAATCCTGAGCATTTTTTTGCAGTTGCCGAGGTCTTTCATGGATTTTAGGGGACTCTGATTCACCTTCATGCTCAAGGTGCTAATTAAAACCACGGTAACTCAGATCAGGTGTGTCAATTGGCTTAAACCAAGTGCTGAAAGTTAGGATCATGTTCACCCCCTGCACCCCCCAAAAAAAGATCCATCAGGCAGATGGGGAGGGTATTCTGGGGAGCAGAGAATCCCCTGCAACTGGAGCACTTGGACTGAAGGCTTGTGCCCTGTCTGTAAGTTGGTGTGGTATTTCCTCTCTCAGAAGGGGGCTGCGAGAAGGTAACAAGGATATCGTGGTGTTAGGGCTTGAAATCGTGGTCTAAAATACACAAAACTTTCCAGACCACCTGAAAGGGAGTTTTGTAGCTGCATAGAAGTGCCTGCGCTGCTCGAGCTGCAGGACGGGGCGTTGGTTGTGTCTATGAGGACTGGCAGGGACCTTCTCATCAGCGTTTGCCTCTGTCCCGGGCTCCTCTGCTGAGCTGGAAGCCGTAGATCCTGCGGAGGACTGCCTGGCAGCTCCCTGAGGAGAAGAGCTTATCCTGGTTAGGAAGGAAAAAAAACATCTCTCCCCTTTATATCTCTTGTAGAATATTGAAGATAATGGCACAGTTTCCAAAGTAAATAAATTCTTGTGAGAAGCGAAGGAGCCGCCTCTGAGCAAACCTACCAATCGTGCTGGTGTGAGCGGTCCAGCTGGCGGCTAGCAGGCGTTTCCTCCGGCTGGACATGGGGTCTCATGGGCTGGCGCGGTTGGTAAGTTTTCTCTTCCTACAGCTCCATCGCTCGAGTCCTGTGGACTTTTTTTCCGTGTGCTGTGAGCTCACGGTAGGCTCTGAGAGCTCTTCGAAGTGCTGTCAGGCAGATGTCAGGGTATTGGGACAGTTGGTTGGGACGCGAGGCACTTGGTCCGTGTGTCCTGGGGCAGGAATGAGTCCTGGTTGTGCTCGTTTGAGAAACATAATAGAGGAAATGGTTCTCGAGCCAGAAATCACTGAGTTTTTGGTTGCTTTGTCCTTTTACAGGGGTGAAGGCAGGCAAGGGGTGAGGAGGCTGTTGTTTCCAGTCTGTAGGGAGATGGTTTCCAAACAAAACTGCACTTGTGACAAGCGGAAGAAGAGGAGGTGGCCAGAGAAAATGAATTTTATGAATCAATGCTCTTTAATTGCCTTAAGGGAGAGTCCTCTTCCACTTGAGGCTTGGCTGGGGGTTTACAGAAGGGCAAACTGGACCTGAACTGCTCAGCAAATTCTTCGTGGGGCGTGAATAAGTGTGTAACGCAGCGCGGGCGATGGTTTCACGGTGCACATCTGTGAGAGGGTGCTGGAGGGGAGCTCCTGCCTCTCAGAAGGGTCTGTATCCCCCAGGGCAGATCCAGAAATGTTCCTCGCAGGCAGCGACAGTCCCGCTCCCAGTGAAGCCGTGTGCTTTGGTACCCGCTTGATTTCACCATGCTGTGAGTAGGTTTATACCACGTTACACCCTCAGGATGTGAAACTGTCACTGCTGGACTTGGACGTAAGTTGTACAAGTGAGAAACTCGCGGAGGGATTACACCGCACTGCAGTGACACAGGGCTTCTTCCCCAGTCATTATCCTTATTTATTTGTTCGGGCTAATGGAATCTCTCCTGGTATGTGTCTCTCTTTCTGGCCAGCTCAGCATTGCTCTTATTTGTAGTCAGGGCTGTTAATCCTCAGCAGTGCCCTAATTCTGCTGAAAGGGAGGGTGCAGCCGTTGAACTCAGGCAGCCGTACAAGCTCCCGGCTTTCTGGGAAGAAAGCGTCCTATTATTGCAGGCCAGCTCGCTGGATGCGAGCGTCTGATGCTTTCGTCTCTGGGAGATTGCCACAGCGAGTGGCAGCAAGTTGCTTCAAGGGAATGGATGCCCTTTGCTAAGGAACGGGGCGAGTAATTTCCCTGCGATGCCATCCCAGGCGCCTGGGACTCTGACCTGACCCTTCCCGGGGATTTATGCGCTCGGTCGAGGCTGTGAAAGAGCCTCCGCGGTGCCTTGAGAGGAGCTGTGGAGCCTGTGCTGGCGAGGGGCGAGCTGCCTTGCCTTTGGGAAGCGGGCTCCTTGGTGACTTGGCCCGGGGCCCGATCGCTCGGTTTCTTAGCGGCTTTCTGTTTGGCGAAAGGCTTCGCGTTCCCAGGGAGGAGGCGTCTGTCTCAGTCCGTGCTGCGCAGGACGGCCGAGGGGTGCAGGGGCAACTGGGGGCCCTCACCTCTGGTTTTATGCGAGCGTTGGCTGCATCTCAATTACCTAGAGGATTTTTCTCCCAGCCTTAAGCTGTATTAAGATGTGACGATGGGCCTCCTGCGCCATCCCTGCTAGCTGACAGTTTCAAAATGAAAGAACCCCTCTATTTTCCCAATGCAGATGTGCCTTTTGCCTGAGGCTCCTGCAGCCCCGTGCTGGCAGCTGATGCTGCTTCAAGCCAGGTCGAGTTTGCGTTTTCTGGGGTTGGGTGCTGGTCCTGTCACCCTCAGCCAGCCTGTGCTGATGCCTCTTGCCTCCGTTGCGAGTGACGCTGCCGAGCCTTTGCCATTCTGGGGCTGTGGAGCGTGGAGTTTGCTCCCTTTGAAACAAATCCCACACCTATTTTTCCCCACCCGTGTAGTCCCTCATCCAACGCTGCACCTCCTGCAGCTCCCCGGGCAGGAGCACGAGGTTGTTAAACAGCAGCTCTGCCTGTGCCAGATCTTCACTTCACCTGCTCGGAGCCGGAGACCAGCGCTCTGCCGCAGTCCTGGGACGCCGTTCTTGCCCGGTCCCTGTGAGCAGCAAAAAGCAACTCGCTGTGCTTAAACAACAGTTAATTTTTGGCTGGTGCGATGTGTTATAAGCCATCCGGGACTGCGTATCTTCATCGTGCAACTCGTCCTCTGCCAGCGCTTCCCATTACTCCTGCTGTCCAAGCATCTCTGTAAATACCACAGCGCTGGCTTCCCATCAGCTCGCCTGCGCCAGGGCTGCGTTTCAGAGGCGCCCTGAGTAAACCCCAAGCATCCGTACTCCTCGGATGGCCGTAATTCCCCGTTTGAAGTCAGGACATTGTCAGCAGCAATAATAAAGAGTGTTCGAGCTCAGACAAGTTCTCCCTGGCATCTTGTCTAGGCAAATATTATCAAGCTATTGAGCCATACAGCGACTGCTGGATGGGGGTGATTAGGGAATTTGCCAAAGGAAATGTCAAGGATGAAATGTCTTTCTAGTCCAGAACAAAAGATTTAGCAAATTGTGAGGATTTAGGAGTTTCCTTCCCTGGCTTCGCCCTATTAAACCTTTGAAAAGAAACTGTTGTAGCTGCCCCAGTGGCAAGAAGAGCCTCAGCCTTGGTGTTGTTGCTCTGCGGCATTCGGGGCAGCAGAAGCGATGAGCATCAGAGGTTGCAAACTCCCAAGGAAAGCGTCGAGAGAGGAAGGCAGCAAAGCCGCAGGGGCAGTGAATTACCCCCATCCTCGCAGCTGCCCCTCAGGGTGGGTCTGCCTCATCCCACACTTCCACTGTGCCATCGGAGGAGCCGCGGCCGCTCGCCCTGTGCCCTCCCTGCCCGCCTGTGCCTGCTGAGGCCCTCGAGCGACCGGCTCCCCCGCCCGAACTTTGC